TTGCACGATAGCCAGCTGTTTGGGACGGTATGTTGTCTACACAAGGTGTAGGCGCCTTGACCCTGAATGTTTGCTTAGGGCATTAAGGTTTTCAGGTAAATCCCCCTTCTCTCCCTCTTCTTATTCTTTATTTCATAGGTCCTCATGGTTGTATGGCAGCGAAGCATCAGTTCAAATGGCTGATGTACTGCTGTTGGCGATGATGATGGAGCTTCGACTCACCATCTAAGAATCCGGAGAAAACAATTGTATCCCTGGCGCCACGGTCGATGTCGAAGATGGACAATCACGGCATCAGCATGACCTTCACGATAAATGCAGAGACAATCTACTCGAGTGAGTCGCAACGGATGGGCGGACGTGCGGAACCGAGTTAAACTACAATGTAGATATTAGGCAACGTCGGGAGGTGCGGTGCCTTCTTATGGCTTCGGTGTGATTTTCAAAGTGTCGTAGTGATGAGGTCATTACAAGTGAATTTTGTTGACAGCCACCATCCGTATGGCCAGAGAAAAGTATGCTTTGGTCGCTGCTAGTGACGTGAACGTCGAAGTAGGTCACCTGCTAGTTGTCAAACGTCGACTCTGAGTCGTTGTTTGACAGTGAACGTGGCGATTGCTTACTGCAACAGTACTCGGACCGTAATTTTATCCTTATCATTGATGCTTTACAGCATGAACGGCCAGCGAACACCAGCTAATGCTCACCGAACGGAACGATGAGTGCGGAGAGCATACAGAAAGTTTTACCATGGCATGTGGCGTTCGTCAGGATCGTTTCTTTTCTGAGCAAGAATCGAGCTAGTTTCCAGATCAGCGGAAAACTTTGTTTATTATCCCTCGCCATAAAATCGATCCAAGAGAAAATTGATAATTACCGACAAATCCATCACAATTATAATCATCAGATCATTTGAGCTGTGTGATGAAATTTATTATTTCGTTCGAAGCGATAGATAAATCTCAGCATGGTTTCCTTGACAAGCGGTCGTGCGCAACGTGACAGCTGTATTTCCTGAATCGCATACTCGTCTCTATTGATATGCAACCATAATTCTATTTCTTCGCACGCAAGATGCATTCGACCAGATGGCTTACACTGGAATTCAGGACCCATTACTATGTTGGCTATCATCATACCTGAGTGGTCACTCTCAGTTAGTCACCTTAGGTGACCATCACTCTTCCCCACGTCTAATCACAACTGATGTTATCCAAGGAAGTGCACTTGGTCCGTTACCATTCCTGCCTTATGTCAACGATATCAGTGTGGTTACTAAACATGGTATGACAATGTCATAAAGATTGTCTACTAGTTCCGACGAGCTAAATTTCGGAACACACTACTGTCATTCGAGATGAACTCCACTCCCTTTGGACGTGGGTGGAGTTTTAAGCACAAAAATCAATAATGATATGTCACGGTCGTTCGATGCCCGAAGGATCAGTTGCACTCAGTGGCGAACACCAAGTGTAGGACTGTATACTCGCAGTCTAGAAATCAGATATTCCTGTACTTTGAACTTTTCGAACAGGTCGAGTACCGGATAGCGTGTGTCAACCTATGTTTAACATATCTCACAATACATTACAATCCCAGAAAGGGTTTAACTTTTCAAAGTACCCACCCGTACCCCTTTTGAAATACTGAAACATTAACCGTTGCTGCATAAGAAAATCTGATAGAACAACCTTCAGAGGTCGCTTACCGAACGTCTATCAAACCAAAATTCCACGAATAAATATCGGGAGCGGTGTCAGCAACTGTTTCGACCCGGAAGATTGAAACAGACCTTGATACCGCTGTACAATCTGTTTCATTGTAATTCACCTACTTTAAAATTGCAGTACAGTTCTATTCAAGAAATTCGTAAGAAGGACTGTATCTTGATCATACCAACGTGCAGTACAAAAATGCGGTCCAATCTTTTTCTAATTATAGGTGCTGTCTTGCGGAATAAGGCTGATAACCACCATCAGGTCGTGTGAGAGCGCAACAGCATTTCGCACTAAGCAGGAAGGCTACCTAGACCTGAACATGACTATGACCTCGTCCTCGTGATGGAGATCACTTGGTGAACTATTTCAAGAGGGTGTTGGGTGGCGCCTGGGATACTAGTCGGTAATCAAGGACACAAGAGATGTGTCAAATACGAGACAGTATAGAAGTTGGAGGCAGCTGGACCCAACGTATATTGTGCAGGCTACAAAAATAAGAAGCGAATCAACAGGAGCGAGAAAGGGTGCAGCAAGGTACTCACCGAAACAGTTTTTGTCAACGGAAGTGCCGTTAGTAAAACAAGTGGACGTTTTAAGGTTAAAACAACGGTAAAATCCAATGTTGCAAAATACCGAAAGTGTGTTTTCTGGTACACTACAACGACCCCCCTAGAAGGCTGAAGGATGAAAGTCTTCGATGGAGCTGTTAGTGGAGGAAAACGGGAGGTGAAGATGGGTGCGAATAGTAACATGGGCTTGATCACGGGTTTTCAAGAGTTCGCTAGGTCCAGGATTTTTTATTAGTTATGACGATCGTGTGGACCAGAGTGCATCACCGGTGGGCCGTCGGGGTGGGCTGGTCGAAATGCAAAAAACTGGCTAGTTCAGAAAAAAGGCCGACAGGACATTCTCTCCGTTGCAGACCCGACGGTGCGCTTGGGAGGTGTTACTCCCTTCACCGCACTCAAGTCCACGGTCCTCGTCCCAAGAAGAAGTTCGGGCCTCCTCGTCAGCAACGCGTAGCCCGGCGATTGGGGACCAGTCCGCGGTCGAGGGTGACTGACTGTTCTTCGGGTCAAGAAGGGGCCTTGAGCCGGCTGGCGAGTCACTCGAGGGTTGCTTTGGCAGTTCCGGTGGTTGAGTTTCTGGAAAGTAGAACTCAAAGGAGGTGAGCAAGGGTCGGGGGAAGTGGCCTGACGCCGGAGAGGGAACATTGCATGCATGATAAAAGCAAATACGCTACTTGAGTTTTCAAAATGTTTTGGGTTTTTTTTACAGATTTTGCAAAACGTTTGTGGATGAGAAGCACGAGTATCACTAAAGACGAGAAAAACGTGTCAATGGAAATAGCAAACGTTTATAAAATCTAAAACGGACCGGACGTTTGACCTGTCTATCACGTCGGGTTGAGGCGGGGTAGATTGACGGTCAAGGGGAACGGAGGGTTTCGGGATATCCAGTGTTCGGGAAGTCACGGCAGGTGCGGGTGCTTGTATACTAGCATCAGGAAGGGTTGCAAGTGCTTCGTCAAAGAAAGCCACTTTGAGGCGGTCGATGGACATCGTTGTTCGGTGATCATTCTGATCTAAAGTGAAATGTTTCGAAGTCCGTTGCAGGACTCTGAAAGGGACAGTGTATGGAGGCTGTAGAGGGCGCCGCACTGCGTTGGTGCGAAAAATTGAATGCAAGTAGAGAGTCCGTTGTGCATTTGCACATCTCTGGTCTGCTCACGGGCGGCGTCGGGCGTAGTGAACACATGCGTTGAGCTAGGGAGGACGCAAAGTTGGGCGTAGGCATACCGTACGATGCGGGGGAGGGGGGCGAAAGGAATTCTCCTGGCAAATTTAGCGTTATGCCGTAAACCAGCTCTGCTGGTGCACGTTGCAAATCAGCTTTGACGCTGCTGCGAATGCCTAAGGGTACGAGCAAAACGTTTTCGCTTCAGCTAGGGTCGAAGGAGGCCCAGAGCGAGGCTTTAAGCTGTCTGTGGAAGCGTTCAACTAACCCGTTGGTGGCTGGGTGATACGCTGTGGTATGAATGGGGCGACAGCCTAAAAAGTTGCAGAACGTATCGAATTGTGAAAATTCGAAAGGCGTTCCTCGGTCAGTTGTAATGGTGGATGGACATCTGTAGTGCGAGACCTACCGATCTAAGAAGGCCCGGATAAGTCTCAGCTGTGAAGTCTGTTACGGGAATGGCTTCTGGCCATTTGGTAAAGCGGTGGACACATGTAAGAATGTATACGAATCCGCATGAAGGAGGCAAGAGACCTACTAGGTCTAAGTGTACATGCGAGGACCGAAAGTCCGGGGCGGGAAATGAGCCAAGAGGACTGCGAGTGTGACGATGTATTTTGGAGCGCTGGCATTGAAGACAGGTGCGAGCCCAGGTACGAACATCTTTGTTTGTGCGTGACCAAACGAAACGTTCGGTGACTAGTTTCAAAGATGCACAGCTACTGCGATGTGATAGTGCGTCTGAAGGAGGCAGGCACGAGGGGTCTAGGGCAAGCTGTGGAGGGGGCCCGAATCTAATGCAGGGTAACCAACTGATGAACTAGCTACAACACGTGAGGGAAAGTTGCCGAGATGCCAGATGTCTCAATGTGTGGAGAAATGATCCAACGTGGTATACACACTGAAACCTTTCAGTTACACTAAGAGCAAGAACTAAAGGAACCGGATTTTAGTCTCACAAAAAAGGATGGACAGGGCGAACTTTTCTATACGTGACCTAGTCCGCGATCAAAAGAAAGAAACACAAAAAGTAAACAGAACCGGTCACGTGAATGAATTGAAGCTGGAAAAAACGACTGCTACGACTAAGCGATAATTTGAATAACCTTATCATATTACTAGGATCACAAAAATGTCATGAAGCGGTTGGAGCCAATGAAACCAGGTATCCCAAAAAGCGTCTGGAATCAATAATCCGATGCCAATTTTTGGATGATATGGTATATTGGTAGTAAAAAGTACAGCGAACGTACAACGTGAATGGAAACACTGTGAAAGCAGCAAACATGGTAGGTTGACCGGTAGCACAGTTGCGTAGATAAAAATAGGGTGAAAACAAAGCAACGCCGAATGGATGAAAACCACAGAAACTAATTGGCTAGAAAACCAATGACGGAAAAGGTAAAGGATAAAATCAAAACACAAAAAGTAATGAAACAGTACTTTACATAAAGTGGGCAAGAGAAGTTATATCGTGCAAAGTGAACAACATATGAAAATGAGTAAGTGATATTGCCAATATGAAGAATGGGCGCGCACAAGGTTTCAATCGTTGCCTGACCGACCAGGTGGATGAATCCAGGATACGTTCCTCAGCTCACAGTCAATTTGCAACATTATGTGGTTCGAATTGGACCGGTCTATATGCTCCATCGGGTCCGTTGCTAGAGGAGTGGATACAAACCGCGCACCATCAATAGAAATTAAGGCGAAAAATTAATCAATCCGAAACTCACAAGGTGTATAAGATGCGACTAATCTCAAATACGACGCTAATCACCGAGAAAAAATACCAATGACAAGATGAAAGAGCAAGCGTAGCGGACAATAACCGCCAACAGCTGTGTAGGCGATGAAAGGCCAAAAAAGGCATCATCAGAACGCCAGTACGCCGTACCGACGCTTCGCTGTCGCGCAACCATCATTAGCCGCAAGTGGGCTAAGGACACTGCGAGGGTCACCATACCCCTGCGCAAACTCGAACCCGCGCCGTCTGATTACAAGACAAACTCCTTACCTTTAGGCTACGGGCCGGCTAAAGATGAGATATAACAAGCGAAGTAATATGCCGAAAGGAGCATCTGTCCCATACGCCATCAGGAAGTTGTCACTCGTGAGCAGGTACACTCAAAAGCATTCTAACGCCAAGAGAAAGTGAGTGCAGTACGTGTCACCAGGGTACTTGACTAGCATGGCATGTGAGAGTGCAAATGATTCCTGCAAAGTTAAGCAAGGGGTGTGTACAGTAAAAGAAAACGGCGTGAGAGTTGGATCCCAGTCCGTTCCATGACAGACCTACAAGAGTACAGAACTGTAACGAAGCTAACACATATTGTCATTTGCAACGAGCCTGTCATTTGGAGGTGTCAGTAACGAACAGGTTGGTACGTTGCTGACGCCGCGTCGGAGAAATTCATACCAAGTGTTTCGAGTGGAAATGCATGCGAAAACGGGGCAAATCGTTTACGTACAGCCTAGGCATTGAAGGAAGCAAGATATGTGAAAACGTAATCGAAATAACAGCGTGTGCGACACGTACCATTTCGTGCGGGATACGCCGGTACGATCAAGGTGATATGAGTGCTCAGTTTTTCATACACTGGGTCAACCGCGTGCAGGTGTACATTGTCAAGCCGAGAAAGAACGAGGTAGATTGTGTCATTTCGACGACCGGCAGCGTCCAAAAGGTCGTCCATGGCCCACATGAACCGCGAGTAGAATGGCTGTTGAAGAGAGCATACACGAAGCAGATAGTCTAATCGGTTCACGAGACTACTGAATCCACTGATATCACTATCATCGGCAATACACGCAAGTCGAGGGTGGGAAACACACCTCAGCTAATGTGCCGCAATACAAAAAGGCAAGACAATAAGCAATGTAGCATAAAAGCTACAAAAAAAAACAACATAATGCTAATGTCACATTTTTGATCGTTGTTGGAGGGAGAGGCAAAAAGGAAGGTGAGGGAAAGAAACTCGCAACACAAACGCCACTGAAGTCAACTCTTTGCTAAGTCGTCGAGTGCATCAAGCCAAACGTACTCATCATCCTTCGGTCCCCAACCAGGCAGTCGGGCTACACCAATAGACACCAAATGCGAAGTGAGGGACTTCATTTCGCTTGGCTGTTATCGCTTGGTCTCCCTGTCCACTTATTCACTCCACGCCCCGGCGCGCAAACAACACAGTCGCGGGAGGCGGTGTGCTGGCATGCGCAACAAGTGGCCCAGTCATCGGAGCCTGGTGCGTAATATAACAGTGCTTAGCGGTTCACTCACTCTTCCTGCACCAAATACGCGAAGCCGAACACACTCATTGCTGGATATTTTGGCGTTGCTCATCCCAACACGGGCACCCTACGACCGCGGTTTCGTCCTAGTTTGGACTCATCAGGTGGAGATAGCCTGAGCTGGGGTGGAAATCAGAGCCTAGTGGTTCACGGCTGATGCTCATTGCTCATGCAGTGCTCCCACCAGACATGAGCTTAGCTGCGAAGACAGCGATGATCAAAGGTAACTACCCACTTTTTGTCTGTCGAGTTGATGGGACAGGTTTCGCAAACGTACAGGACGGACGGCTGCATTGTAAACTCTGCCCTTCAGAGAAAGAGTAATGTCAAGTCGGCGTCACAGATGATGGAGATTAGCAAAAGCACATCGGGCTTTTGTTATACGGTTCGTGATCTCATCTTCCGTTCCAGTGGCGCTGTTATAGTTGCAAGCCATTAATACAAAGAGGATCGGAGAACATAACGTATGATGTGCTCCACAAATGTAACAGCAATCCATAGAAGCTTTAAATAGAAAAAATTATACTCATATCTAGTGTGCGGTGATCTCATGGTATATTGACCCATTTCAGGGTAGTATATGGTGGCATGTACGCCGGCTAGGCTGCCAACCGTTAGATTACCTGCGATCGCTTACTAAGGTCCTCATCGATGAGAAAAATGATTTCATCAGAAGGGTGACAAGAAACGGATTGTCTAGGCACTGCTGAGGTAAAGAACAATTGATCCTTGTCCCAATGCCAGCCGACCGCCCAGAAATACGAACCAGTAAAAACGCCGCAAAAATGAGGATGATCAAAGGAGTGTAATCAACTACCGTCACGGCAGTAACCATTGCCTGAGTAAGAATGATAGATATACAAGGGTTTTACTGACATATCGCAGCAGATCGCAAACCAGATAGTCTGGTCATCAATCCGGAAAAGCACCAGGCGGTTGTTTCGCCTAATCCGGGACTCGCTAGTAAAGCGCATCCTCCGGCTCCATTAGCAGCTTGCGTCCCTAAGTAGATATGCGGGACAAATGCAGACTGCCATAACTTTCTCTAATCGATTCTCGTTGGCTGAGACCATGGACAAGTCGTTGTCCTGTGGGAAACTAATAGGCGGAGAAGTGCAAGAGGCTAGTGTCGGAGGATAGTGATGCAGCTGCCTGGCTAGCCGAACAACCTCCTCGTGGTGCCGGCTGGGTGGCTCGGGTTTAACGCGTTCCAGTAAATAGTTTGGCGCCAGTGTTCCAGGACGTGGTGCGTTTTCGCCTAGCAAGCGCACTTCTTATAAAAAGCTACAAATGTCTAATCATCAACACTGTGATGTGGTGGATGTGACTCGCCACCAACTAAAATCACTCCCTTGTTTATCCCCACAACCGCTACAAGCCCACAGACATCAAGCATCCCTTCAGCACAGGCAAACGATACAAATACGATCAAAAGCGCAGAAAAGTATTTACAAATCCTAAGAACATGGTAACACACGCATAAATGGTTGGCAGCATCCCGTTCCTGAATTATCCGTCACTGTGTTCTCCACGGGGACAGTCACAGAGGGACCATGGGTGGCTTGCGCTGCACCACCCACAGCTCCAACAACACACCCATATCTAGTGTACACCCAAAGGAATAAGACCGACATGTGAATGGGAGCCACGTTACATCAACGGAGCCGGCCCACACTCCTTCACAGACAAACGCAAGCACGCTGTATTTGGGGAATCAATCGCACACAAGGCGATGGTTGGAGCGTAGTCCGCTCCACACTGAGTGCATGGAACCACCCTTCGAGCCTAGCAGAACCACAAAAACCGTGCACCCCGTCCCCTCCAGCAACGACCAACTGTCTCCTGGAGCCAGAATGGACGAGGTAGTGGGTAATAGACAGATAGGCACCTTGCCAACATGCACATAAAGTGCAGCCACACCTCAGATGTCGAACAAACGCCGTCACTTGAAATCACATTATCGAATAAGATATCTGTTAAAGCATACGACTATGTAGACATAACCCTTCCCTAAATTACCATATGAAGTAAGTTAGTAACGGAGTCACGATAAGTACAAAATGTCCAGAAGTTACTCAAAAATACCACAAACGCAATAAAGTTAAAGAAGATAACCACAATCAGAGTAAGCAACGTGGCCAGTTAATAGATTATTCAGGTAGGCAGAACAAACCAAATAAAGTGGAATGAAATTTATCCGGCCTAAAAAGATCCAGTTTAAATGCAGGTTGGTTGAGCCCAACTGCGGTGAAGAAGCATCATGAATGCAACATCAGCCTCAGCATGGGACACACATACGTTCTTATATCAACATATGTGACAACCCTATTATTCCATTGCACATTAACTGATCACTTTTTGTGCTCTTGCCATGATCATGCTTGTGCAGGTGTGCTTCGCGTAGTCGAGAATAAACATTTATTTACTTGCATTTATTTGGTATTTGTGTGGACCCAAACCTGGTAAATTAGAGTTGAGGTTGCTTCAAAGGTTGGATTTGGAATCAGAACGGATTTTATAGATTGATGAAACATCAGCGTATCCACAACGATGGAGCTTTTTTGTACTGAGACCACTATTCCTAAAGATATACGTGAATAAACTCTCCACACTATGACATAGTAGATTTTCAGGTAATATGACCATATTAAAAGAAACATTGTTCAGCATCGATTTGGAGTAAAAGGCGTTGCACGATGTGAAAAATTGGTAGGACAAATCGATCTAAGTTGCCAGTGGTAACGCCAACAGTATACAGTCTGAATAAAGCGTTTTGTATGGTGGTCTAGGGTGGACAAAGCGCATCACATACGAGGTTCCACTACTCCACTTCATAAGTGAAAATCCACACCAATTGAACACACTACAACTCATATACTTGAATGGACGGATGACGGCTACACGCAAATCAAATGGGAATAGTTTGATAAACACATCCGGATAGCGGTGAGTAAGAAGCGATGTACTGGATCTAACAGAAGCATGGTGGATGCTATATGTAACAGGATTGATCAAAAACGGATTGTCAGTCAGTCAAGAATTGGATATCTGTTGCACATGCTTCCGACAACATGGCTTCGCCACTGACTGTACAAAGAGACCGGTCGATGACTTTCGTGGATAGCTTCCTGAAACTAGTTTATGAAGGGACGAGCTGTTCTCCGGTGAGAGGACAATAGGAAATAAACTAAAGATAGTTGGCGCAAGGAAATGGTGATTGCCAAATAAAATGTCGAAAATTTGTCGAATAACGGTCAACCATGGTAAAGGCAAAAACACTAATGTAAATCAAACGGGATTCTCTCCCAAGAGTTTACCGAGGTTCCGATATGCTAAAAGGAATTCATGGACTGGAAACAGCCCATTGGCTAAGCATTTAAAACAGCTGAAACTGCACCACTAGCGTACAATGTGGTAGCCAAGAATGGAGAAAAATTGGCCTAAGACAATATGATAATGCTGGATCGATAAAGATGGGGTCCAAGAAAAAGCCAATAAAATGCAAAATCATGAAACAAATAAAAACTTGCCGCATGACACAATGACTCCGATGGTCCAGAAACTACGGCGTTTGAAATAACAACATATTCTACAGTGATTCTGTGCTATCAAAGACCGGCTCACTATTATAACGCCTGACTGTAAGTGAACACGCTCCGAACGGAAAGCAAGAACATCACCGTGCTGGACAAACTCTATTCAAAAACCGACAAAGTTGAGCAACTGGGATGCAAAAGATCAATAGACCAACCACATGAAAGGACATAGTCATGAATGGGGAGCAGTCCAGCTCTGAACGACTGTCGTGCGTGTGTTCAACACTATCACGTGACGAGACAATCACGAATGTCAAACTGTGAAGCGCAAGCCCGTCTGACACTCACCAACTAGTTGAGGCCAAAAGTAAGGAATTCATATGGCCATATTATTAACGTTTATCGCACCACTTGCTATTTTGGAGCACACTGCAATCATTGTAGTCAGTGACATCAACCTTGCGTTACAAATTATAAAAAAGGACTGTTTTCATCTTGCAATGACGCTGGTCCGTTTGAAAGCATCTAACATTCACAGGAAAATTGACAAAAAACAAACGCTTTCCGCATTCATATAGCCGAAGTAGTAGTATTCCATGGAGAAGAGTATAGAGAACATGATGTCTCTGTTCCAACTGACTGCAGAAAGATAGCGGCTCACACTGCGAACATTATTATTACACGCTAGCAGAAGGTGAGAAACACTTCAGCTATTGTGCAGCGACAGGAAAAGATAAGATAGATGCAAAAAGGAGATACTAAACATTACAGAATACAATATAAAAACCAAAAAGAATAATGCTTAGTATCACATTACGCATCGGCTGTGATATCGTGGTCGTAGGAGGAAGATAATCGAAGGGGGGAGGAACAAAGAACCTCACAAGACAAAAGCTATTGAGGCCCGATCTCCGCCATGTCAGCAAGTGTATCCAACCAAAAGTGTTCGTCGTTCTCCGAACCACAGCCGGCAGACACCGACCGACGCCAAGTTCGAAGTGAGGGCCTACATTCTTCTTGGTCAAGTCATCGTTGACATTTCCTCTTCTTTTTCCATCCACACTAGTGATCAGATTAACGCCACAATGATTCTCGTCGGACAGTGTCCAGTCGGAGAGAACTTCCCTCCTGTATCAAGTAGCATCTAACAAGGTGGCCAAACTAGTCACTAGTGAATCGTCGTTGTCTTCCAGCAGTGATAGACGAAGACTGTCGATTCGAATCGCTATTTTCTGCTTTAACATCATTAGTTAATATCGGATCTCGTCTATACTGGGTTGTCGCATCAATGTACAAGATGTGCTGAAATGACTTGATTCACCATTTTTATGCACCAAATTGACACCGCTCAGATCGATCCCACTGAGACTGTTCGTTCTTTTTAGCTACCGTTCAACACAAGGGAAAGTCGTGGATAAGAGTGCAGAATGAATTGAAACAACACTGCTGTTTTCTATCGCGCTTACCTCCAACCAACAGGATATTGTTATCCGCCAAAATTCCAGACGAATTCTAATATCGATGCACAGTAATGCAGATCCTTTGAGATGAATGTCTATAGGGAGCGATCGAGTGTGTTTTAACTAGGCCCATCGATTATTCAGACATCTCCGGCCGGGTGAAAAATGGCTTCAGACGATTTCTGCATGGCGTAGTTAGTGACGACTCCAAGCTGCACTCGGTAAGACCACCTAGTTCGACAGTGACAGATGATGCCGAGTTTTAAAATGATGAGTAGACACCCTCGAAATTGAGTAATTCATCGCAGCCAAAAGAATGAGCGTTGTGCGGGCACGCACAATGGCATAGTCAGAATCAAGGCAATTACTTCAGATTGATCGACAAACATGTAGTGATATGTGTCATCACACGTGCAAACGTCGTGAATGCAGGTATCATAAACAAAAAAGCAGACCGTAGCAAATGTAATCAATATCTGCGCACAAGATACAACATTTTCCTGTACTGAAGATCGTTGCTGAAGGAGCTTGGTATTGATAAGCCCACAATGACGAAGAGGAATGAGAACATAAGCAACTCACTTGAACCGCACTCCGTGCTGGAGAATTGAAAGTAGCTTTGGGCCGGCTACCGGGGTAAGCTGTTTTACTGAGTAGCTTAGGGGAATGAAAACGGCGTGCTACAGGCGAATCGACATGGACACGTTCGGTCGAAGAGAATTCATGTGGGCTAGAGATAGGGTGCGCTTGAATATCGGAAACAACATGGGAATCCTTTCGCCAACCGCTAGAGGACGGTGCTTCGCCATCACCAGAAGCATTCAACGTTGGACCCGTATTGGCAAAGATCTGCCGTCGGAGCCAGTGCTAAGATAAGGGAAAGACGAAAAGTATACAACTGTGGAAAGCAAAAACAGCCAACAGTTCCAGAAAGAAAAATTGACTGGAATTTTGGACCAAATGTATGAAAGACAAATAAATGTCGCTTCATTGTTGAACAAAGATAAAGGCCCTGTCATGTTTAGATGTCGAATGCTGACGAAGAAGTGATTGCGATTGACTTGACACTGGTAAATCGGAGTCCTGAACAGGAAAGTGCGGCAGAAGTGGAACGTCTAATTTACCGCGTAACAGTAAGGGGTGGTTTGCGAGTGGGTAAACATCCTCAAAAATGGGGCATGTATGGTAGACATGATGTTCTAGTGAACATCGCCGAACACTAAAGCCAGATCAATCGATAAGCAATTTGGTAAAGATGTGCTACTCCAGACCATGAAAAATACTGACAGCCGAATCGGATGGATAGCAACAGTCATAACTTAAAGCACACTGTATTGCAAAGTGTGAAACTAACCCCAGGGGCACGCTTCTATCCTTTGGCTAACCAGCTGAAGACAGAAGAGACCGATCCAACCCAAATGTGATGTTCATCTAGGCCTGTAAAATCAAGGCTACGGTCATTGACTGATGGAGCTGCACGGTAATCGGTTGCTGGAAAGCAGTGGTCAAATGAAGAGATCGACCCCTTTGATTGCATCCGCAAGTCAGTCTCCATTGCCGTCATGAACAGTAACCATCAACATCAATATCTATGATCTAATACTGCATAGCAAGTGAAATAACACATCCAGCATGCCTCACCGTCAAAAATACATGCTAGCTAAAGGCGAGAAACGCCCTTCAATTATTGTGCTGCAATGCGAAAAGATGATACTAAACATTACAGAACACAAAAATCATTAATGTAGTACTAAGAATCATGGTGTAAGAACCCGAGATGAGAGCGCAATGATTTATTGTGTCAACATAGCTAATACTAGGTGCATCCGTTACGATAAACGAGATATCCACCAATCTTCGAGGTTATCACTGGAGGTTGCATGGCGCGGGTTTCCTTCTGTGTCCAGTTGTATGGTGTGCACTGCTTGTGCGTCCATTCCTCGCGCGCATACAACTGCGGTTCTAAAGTGTTCCTCTCCTTTGGGGGAGTCATTAAGATCTGCTATTGGCTGGTTGCCATTTCGCATCCTGGCATTTCCAAGCTACCGATAACTGGTGCAGTAGTGTCTGTCTTCAGTCCTCCATAATGGTACTCATTGTGTGTGGGATCGCCGTTGAAGATGGGAGCTAAGTAGAGAAGAGAAAGACAAAGAAATCCACAACACAAACGCCAGTGAGCCCGGATCCTGGCCAGTAATCAAGTGTCCAACTACAAGTGTTCATCGTCCTTCAAAGCCCAGATCGGCAGTTGGGAGACATCAACAAGTTCGAAGTAAGGGCTCTGGGAGCCAGTCATGTTCTCTGCACGTTCATAATATGCATGACAGTAGATAACGCTTTCTTGGATGTGTGGTGGCTATCTGAGTTTTGCTGCCACGAGACTTCACAAAACGATCAATAATCGCCCTATCAGCTTACACGCCACCAGCATTCATAGGAAGTCGTTGCTCTGGGGGCCAGTTCTGTTCTCTGCACGTTCATAACATGCATGACAGTGGTGGGTGAGCCGCGCTATATCGCAATTAGATATCAGTCATGGCAGTCAGCTGCCGTCACCCATGGCTCAGTGGCATAAGTCGCTGGCTCGTAAGAGTAAAGTCACGGGTTCGAATCCGGAAGATTTCGGCGAGTGCGTTAGTCCCAAGAAGACGAAACGGCCGTCTAACGCTTTCCTGGATGTCTGGTCGCGATCTGCCTGATTCTATCTGCGACTAATATCTACAAAAATAACCAAATAAATCCCCCTACTAATCTCTAAGGGCCTACATTCTTCCTGACCAAGTCATCGCTTGGCGTCTCCTCTTCTTCCATCCACACCCGGAGTCGCGCAAACAACGCACGTTGCGGCAGTCGGCATGCACAAAACATGGTCCAGCCATCGGAGCTTGGTACGTGACACAACGATGATGAGCGGTTCCCTAACTCTTCCTGTACCAAATGCGAGACGCCGAACATACTCATTGCTCACGCGGTGTTACCACCAGATGTGAACTAAGCTGCGAAGGCAGCGATGGTCGGAAGTAACTAGCCTCTTTATAATTGTCGATTATATAGATCAGGTCTCACAACCGTACAGTAGGAATGAACGTACGGCTGCGTTATAAACTCTGTCTTTCATGGCGAAACGGATGTTCCGCCGGCGCCACAGATGGCGGAGGTTCGAAAAACGGTGTCGACCTTTTGAGATCCGGTTCGTAAGCTCATCTTCTAGCATGCCTACATATACAAAAAGCAGACTGATATCGAGGATAACAGACGCGTCAAGTTATCCGTGCAGAACCTGGCACAGAATGGTACGCGGCGAAAATGTTTGGTAACGTTTTTCTACGATTAGAAAACTTTGTATATGTGACGATCAAATCCCTAACCGAAGTAATAACGACGCCGTTCAGATCCTGCGGATGTCAGTCGGTGAAAAGCTTGACCCAGAGGCGCAGTAAACAAACATCGCGTCGAATAATTGTGGCTAAAAGCAGTTGGTTATTTGACAAGTATGCCAAATTGGAAGCAAAAGGCATCCAGAAACGAATTTCGATTCCTCAGATTACAATAGAAGCCATACTGTAAATCGTCGAACTTTTTCACCAACTACGGGCCTTCCGCTAACCTACCTGAGTTCCGACTCTGTTGTGTACGAAAAATGTACGAGTTGAGTTTGGGAGGACAGCATACAAGCAATCGACGTTACCATGGGAAGTCCTACGATGCAAGTTCTTAGAGAGAGCTTAATGTGTATGATCAAAATGATAGTTGGTTCCAGTATTGATGAAATCAAGCTGAACGGATAGTGTGCGTTTCGAGAACGTCAAGTAACCCGCAAAAATGCGTCACTAACATCAGTGTGCGGCCTGCGCTCGTATTCAATTCCTGCCCATAACGTAGCAGGATCAAGCCAGTCCGAGCCGGGGCGCAACTGGGCAAGGGAACAATGTTCTTTCGTAAACCACGCGCCCTACGTGATGATTCATTTCATCCACAAAATTGTACCAACTGTGATGCGGTCTTGGTGGGTCGTGAAAGAACTCTCACGGGTCCGCTTCGTCTCATCTTCTCCCCCATGTGCGCTAGTTGGGATTCGCGTGGTCAAGTGATCGTGTGCACCTAAGTCTCTCGCGTCTAGTCCTCCGGTCGTGTGCGCATCGTTGTCTGTTTACGAGGACTCAGCGCGTTACCTGAATATGTGCGTGAATAGAAACTGCGGTCAGGTCACGCGTAAATTTCGACCAGGGCTACGCAAATCCATCACATTTTGTTAGTGACATCTTAGTCCTCACCGACGGTAGCCATTTTAAAACACGAGATCATATGTGAAGAATTGTTTCCTATGATACATCTTCAGATCATTACAATCAGATACAGGAGTGAAAGAAATAAAATCGACCGATTGGCCCAAATTACAGTGTGTTGGATGGAAAAAGTTGGCCCTCGCCCTAACAGGTAGATTGCATAGTACCGAGCTTAACCTGTGACAGCTGACCTTAGTATCGTCCGTTCTTGCTGGCCAGGGAAGCTGAATAGCCTGGATCAAATTCTTTTGCGAGCACAAAGAAGGTTGAAACAACCGGATGCAAATCGCTCCAGCTGTCAAGAGTGGACGGAGGCGAAGACCTCTGTATTGATGCTGGGGTACCCAGTAAATTATCCTGAAGGCACGGTATAGATAAACGGTCCTCAGTGTCGACAATATGGTCTAAAACAGCGCTGCTAATGGTCCCAGTTCCAACTTGAGATGCGCACAGAGTGAGCAGTGCTCCTTCACGCGTTTGGACAGGTGTCTTGTCGTTCGACCGAAATAAGTTGCGACACAGATACACTCGAAATGATAAATAACCATTGAGGAGATCAGCACTGGTAACATATCTTTATTGCGTGGACAAACGAGTGATTCAGTAGAAAACGAGCACTTCACCTTGGCTGCTGGGAATGTCGGCTTGACTACCGTTGAAAGACTTTTGGTAAGGCGCTCGGTAACGGCATCGTCTTTGAAAAGTAATCTTATAACTTTCTTCGCCGCGGTTAAAATTTGTACTGGATTGGGTACTTCTTTAGAATGCTTTGCAATAAATCGATCAAAGTAGCTAATCTCGAGCAGCGTATTCTGTATAAAGGCTAGTTCCTCATCCAGGGGGTACAGTGAGAAAAATCTACGTGCTCTTGTGATGAGGCAGTGGATCAGGTTTCGCTTGTATCTCAAGGAAACTATATATATATATATATATATATATATATATATATATATATATAATGGATCTTACTCTGCATCGTTCCTGTCTCATCAGTTTGAACGGAAGGTATGAATCTGAGCCGCACACCATGGAAATACAAGTGTGGAACACAAATGAACTGTTATTGTCAAAGGTAGGGATATCCCATTGGGAGAATTAATGGGAAGAATTGAGACCAATGTTGGCGGAGTGTTGCAACAAAAAGATCACGTGGTTTTAGTCGCTAAGAGCAGAGTTTGTCGCACGATTTCCAGATCAAATTTTCCTGTGTAATTTTGATGCCAGCGTTATTGGAATAAGCTAGGTTTTTTTCGAAAACTTACGGTTTTAGTCAATGGTTTGACTCCCGAGTTAATAAAGTTTGGATAAAAAGCTTGTCAAAATCACAACTTATGCTTTCTTTCGGAATGTGCCAGCGGAGAAATCCACACGCGACAGATTTATACATAACCATGACTCTCGATAAGGCAGTATTGCATGCAGCATGGATGAATCATTGGGCAGTGTGTATGGGAGCACCGCGCACTTGTAACTATCGCAAGGGTAGCAGCTGCGATTTGAAGGCGCTTGCCTGGATGATTGAGCAAGAAAAATCCAGGGCACAATTCTGGAGAATTATTGCGAATATACTGGAAGCAGATTAGCACACAATCTTGCGTGTATCACTGAGTTTTCCAAACGAAAAACTATGTCAAATCTGTGGACAAACGGGGGACAGTCTGTCTTGCAACTGGATAGAGTGGTCCGATCAGCGATGGTATGGTATAGCGACTTTAACACGGGTAGTATTGACCGCATGCGGTTTTCAGTTATGAGCACTCTGGGTGGAAAATATACCAATGCGGTGTAAATGTATACCGAGTGAAGTGCTACAATTTTGCAAATCTAATCGAACGATGGTACACGCGTTCTTGCATGCGTTTATGAGCAGAACATACGGAGCTACAGTTTCATTGGCATCAGTAAACGCGTGCCTCCACTTGCTTAGGCAGTGTTAGATACCAAATGTGACGAAAAATAACGCCAAGCGCAACCAAATGAAAAGCACTAACATCGCTAGACATCATGCCTTTGTCTATCGTTCAACGCAATCGACATCCGAAAACGATGAAAGACGATGAGAGCTGAGAAATGGGTTGGACGAATGATAACGGTTCAGGTTGGGTGCGAATTGAGCTGCCGCAGAGGAAAAATATCAAGAGCAGGGGGACGACGAGATGGAGTGACAGAAAAACTCCGCGTAGGCGCCTATGCCGATTCACAGATAAAATGTATCAACTGATCACCTACCGTATGCAAGGTAGATCAGTGAGTCTGAAAAGCGCCAAATGTCCCATAGTAGTCATGGAAACTGGAAGTAATGAGCCCATTCAATGTTTTCACCATCTTAATTATGGCAAAACAAGATACAGACAAATAGATATATGCACTCTGATAATCGATTTAACAGATCTGTCTTGTTTTTGAGCCTGAACACTATAGATTGCTAGTACAGCTATACATCACTGAGGACTGGTGCCTGAGTTTCTTCGCACAACATGTTGATTCGGCACGTACGTTCGGTTAGTGATCAATGTACTTGGTTGTAAAATGAGCGCACGGGGTGTACAGTACCCTACGACAGAATAAAGGGATGGCAATCCAGGCGTCAGGACACTAAGCGAAATAATGGTTCGTATTGCTGGCTGAATTCAAGTCCGCAGCCGAGTGGTCCAGGAGTTTGGTTCGTTATCCAAAAGGTACCAGTCTCAGCCTGTGCGGATGCGTAGTAACCGCAGCGCAAAAGCAACTGCAGGTGGTGGCGTGAAATAGAAGCGCAGGTACTTCGTACCGGTAAACTGTTTCGGCAATTAGTGCTCCTGTGGAGAGCATCATCATCAACAACAACAACAACAGTATGACAGACGCTTGAACAGATGCATCCGTGTCATAAAATCATGATGACCTATGGAATGAAGAATAATAAGAGGAAGAGAAGTGGGACTTACATGAAAATTTTAATGCCCTTAGCAAACATTCAGCGTCAAGGCGCCTACACCTGCTGATAACAACATACGAGCACAAACAGTTGCCTATCGTGCAAAGATAAGGCGGCATCAGCGACACAGCTTCCCTGCAGCTAGCACTGTCCCGTATCATAATCAGCCACTACACCGCAGATAACTCAGCACCCAACACACTTTAAACAGATAGTCCGATAAGAAGACGACCACAGACGCGCCACTGGTACCGACGGAGATCCACATCCCGTTAAGACTCGAGACAAACACAAGGCGAGTCACGTGGACTCCAATCCGGAAGGCAAGACGACCAACGGCACCCAATTTGGTCGTCAATGACTTCACTTCCCTCTGCCAAGTCAACTTCTGTCCACCTCGACCCTTGCGTCACCCCACATCCGGCAAACAAAACTGGGTAAGCGGTGACCAGATATACCTATTAAGTTCCCAAACCAACGCAACTTATTCAGTGCTATCTGTTGTTCTAAGGAATTTGCATGATTATCACTGCTTAGTACCCTCCCACGCACACCATCGTTGCGCACACGTTGGCGCCACCCGACACCCGCAATGCTTCGCAGACAACGATGATCAAAGACTTGCAAGCTCATCAGATCGATAGACCTACATACCATAGATTACGACGGCCCTCACTGTGGCCCTGTATACAAGGTCTTTCAGACGGAAGAAAACTCCCTTCTGTCGACAAAGATGCCGCAGATTCAAGAAGGCAGTTCTGGCTTTTGCAATACGTAAACTGACTTCAGTTGTTGTGCGCCCATCGTTGCTGATGCAGCTGCCAACGTAAGTGAATCCATCAACCATCTCGAGTTCCTCGCCATCAAGGCTCAAAAGGTCATCAAGTGGCTGATGATCCTGCAGCAACACTTTGCCATTTGAAGGTGTGAAGTGCATACTAAATAATGGGACCACTCAAGAGAGGCTATTCAGGGTTGATTGCGTCGCCAAAAGCAAGACGATATCATCCACATAATCAAGATCAACTAGCTTTTCATCAGGCAGCACCTCAACGCCTACATCGTGAGATTCCGTAAGTGAACATTCCATGATGGAGTCCACGACGAAATTGAACAAAAAGGGGGAAATCGGACAACCCTGACGAACGCCACTTGTTGTCGGAAGGGTATCCGTCAAATCACCGTAGACCCTGACGCGCCCTGTAGTGTTCGTGTAAGATATGCACATATTTCGTGGATACATCTTTCCGCGCAAGTATTTCGAATAGAATGCACCGATGGACCGAGTCGTACGCACTCTTGAAGTCGAGGAACAGTTATTGTTGGCCTGCGGTATGTGTGGCGCTGCTCTAGCACTTGCCGCTGAGTGAATACATGGTCCATACAGCCACGTCCAGGGCGGAAACATACCTGCTCTTCTCTAAGCCGAGATTCCCGTTCCACAGTGAGGCGACGAACAAGAATCGAGGCCATTAATTCTGTCACAACTGTGGTTAGCACAGTCAGTGCAACTGTCTTTCTTGTATATGACCACTATAATCGATTCACTCCAGTTAGCCGGGACACCCTTCCAGATATGTTGAGAGCGAACAAGGCACAAGAGACTCAACATGTTGCTGAAATTTTTAAGCACTTGAATGTTAACTGGGCAGTGTGAAATAAGGGATCTAGAGTAGATGGAGCTGACAGTTCGGTAGATCGACGGATACTGTCGTTCCGAGTGATGGGGCAGGGAATCGCAAGATTCGTGAAGAGCAAACCATACTAATATACCAAAGCATTGCGAAGTCAGTGAAAGAAAACCGGATTGGTGAAAGGAAGAATGGCGAACCTGTAATGTGCGACTGACGGTATGAGTAGTCGTCTCCTTGTCTGAAGCAGCCAGCGTGAAATCGCTTGAGACAGGATCACATGGGTGACCGCACGACGAATTATTTGGTAAGTTTTGAAACGCGTCGGAGGCGCCACCGGTGACCATATTGACGGGAAGTGTTGATTGCACACTCAACAGAGCACGTTGGCCAACAGACCGAATAGGCACTAGTTATGGGAAGAAAGACACAAAACATGAATCTAACAGACGCTATCATGGTAAGAAAATGATGAGATGAATACCTATCATACGAGTGCATGCCTTGATTGGGTTTGTATATGTGGCAGGCCCTACAGTAACTATGATGAGTAGTACTTCAAGTGAGTAAGCTAATCTCGGTTTTTAACCAACCAGATGAGTCACGATTTGTAGCAAGTTAAATGTGGGATAGTAACATTCAAACGAGCATGTTAGTTGACAAGCGTGAGAAGGGACGTTTTGGAGGTAACTTAGCAGAAGTTGCTCTGCTAGACTGGACTATGGAAGCTAAGTTGCCTTATTTTAAGCAAAGGGAACTGTGAGGAGTGAACGTTGGAAGACTGTACAAGTATAAATGTCAAAACATTCACGGTTACTAAAGCAAAGGCTGAGGAGGATCAGATGTGTGAAAGCGTCGAAAGGGTACAGACAGACTGACATAAACAGATACCTGCATTTAATAGTGCTGCATTATGAAGGTCATTGACAGTCTTATAGTTCAGTGGTTGAAAGGTCAAACCAAAAGTGAAGAGGCAGAGGATGCTGAGTAGGCTCGTGGTGGCAACGACTTTCGGTCGGTTAGCTTGTAGATATCCTGGACGATGACGACCGATCACACCAGCAAGGTTCACCAGACTCAGCCGATGAGTTTTAGGAAAAGTGCCTGCGTTGGCGGTTACACTGAGTAGCTTCCCTGAGCCCGGAACAGCGGCGCCAGGTAGCCCCTTTCCATCGATTGACTGTCTAGGGTTTTGAAGAACTAAACGACGATTAAAACAAAATTGAACACAGGTGAGTTTGGAAAACAACAGGAAATACCACAAAGTAGATGACAAAAAATCATGTAAATGTGGAAAACAGGTTACTGTAAACAATCATTAAAAAGACGTGGTGCGCAGAAATAATATGTGACGAGCGCAGATATAGTTCCCGATAAACATTGCATACAAGACTAAAGAAATGTGATGAATGATTTGTACCGTCAATATCAGAATCACCATCAGCAGTACACCAGCGATTTGAAATCATGCTTCGCTGAAGTACAACCATGATGACCTATGGAATAAGAGGAAGAGAAGGGGGACTTACCTGAAAATTTTAATGCCCTTAGCAAACATTCAGCGTCAAGGCGCCTACACCTGCTGATAACAACATACGAGCACAAACAGTTGTCTACCGTGCAAAGATAAGGCGGCATCAGCGACACAGCTTCCCTGCAGCTAGCACTGTCCCGTATCATAATCAGCCACTACACCGCAGATAACTCAGCACCCAACACACTTTAAACAGTTAGTCCGATAAGAAGACGACCACAGACGCGCCACTGGTACCGACGGAGATCCACATCCCGTTAAGACTCGAGACAAACACAAGGCGAGTCACGTGGACTCCAATCCGGAAGGCAAGACGACCAACGGCACCCAATTTGGTCGTCAATGACTTCACTTCCCTCTGCCAAGTCAACTTCTGTCCACCTCGACCCTTGCGTCACCCCACATCCGGCAAACAAAACTGGGTAAGCGGTGACCAGATATACCTATTACGTTCCCAAACCAACGCAACTTATTCAGTGCTATCTGTTGTTCTAAGGAATTTGCATGATTATCACTGCTTAGTACTCTCACACGCACATCATCGTTGCGCACACGTTGGCGCCACCCGACACCCGCAATGCTTCGCAGACAACGATGATCAAAGACTTGCAAGCTCATCAGATCTACAGACCGAAGGGGTCAGGTCTTACTCCCATAGATTACGACGGCCCTCACTGTGGCCCTGTATACAAGGTCTTTCAGACGGAAGAAAACTCCCTTCTGTCGACAAAGATGCCGCAGATTCAAGAAGGCAGTTCTGGCTTTTGCAATACGTAAACTGACTTCAGTTGTTGTGCGCCCATCGTTGCTGATGCAGCTGCCAACGTAAGTGAATCCATCAACCACCTCGAGTTCCTCGCCATCAAGGCTCAAAAGGTCATCAAGTGGCTGATGATCCTGCAGCAACACTTTGCAATTTGAAGGTGTGAAGTGCATACTAAATAATGGGACCACTCAAGAGAGGCTATTCGGGGTTGATTGCGTCGCCAAAAGCAAGACAATATCATCCACATGATCGAGATCAACTAGCTTTTCATCAGGCAGCACCTCAACGCCTACATCGTGAGATTCCGTAAGTGAACATTCCATGATGGAGTCCACGACGAAATTGAACAAAAAGGGGGAAATCGGACAACCCTAACGTACACCACTTGTTGTCGGAAGGGTATCCGTCAAATCACCGTAGACCCTGACGCGCCCTGCGGTGTTCGAGTATAGAGCACGTAAAGTGTTCACATATTTCATGAGAACACCTTTCTGCACAAGTATTTCGAATAGAATGCATCGATCGTCTGAATTACACCGACACTTGAAGTCGAGGAACACAGTTAGTGTCGGCCTGCGGTACATGTGGCGCTGCTCTAACACCTGCCGCAGAGTGAATATATGGTCTAGACAGCTACGTCCTTGGCGGAAGCCTGCCTACCATTCCTTAATCCGTGATTTGCGCTCCGCAGTGAGGCGACGAGGGATTCGTACAGGCAGAGTGAAAATAGCAGCGACAACAATGAAGGGGTGTTGGTAAGGCGTCAGCAGTACACTGACACAACGTACTGACGCTTCGCTGACACGCGACTACCAAAAGTCGCGCGTGAGCGTTGTGTATCGCGAGGTCGCCGGCAGCTAAGCGGATTCCTAACGGTGAACTCCGGATTACAAGACAGGTATGTAATATCCCCGGCCATCGGCCGAATGTGTGCTGATTTAAGCCAGTTTAACTTAGCCGTTTAACAAGCAGCTGAGCATGCTGATTCTAACCCATCTTGTGTAGGCACAAGATATGCTAATACCGAACACGAAGCTAAAGATCATTGTGTAGTTAGAAAAGTTGGAATACAACAGAGTAAGAGGAAGCCGATAGGGATGATGTGGTGTGTTGAACTCAACTTGTTGTTGTTACGAGTGATAGAAGGATACGCCAAGACGAGAAGCATCAACTAACAAATTGGGATCCGCCCAGGGAGAGTGGCAAAATAATCGATTGGCTCAGTAAATAAGTGTGAGTGCTCGTATGATAGTTGTGAAAATCCGAAGCGGAATCTTTGTTTGAACCGCAGATGATGATGCACTTTCGTATTTGGTGAACGATCTGGCGCCAATTCCTGTGAGCCAACTCATGAAGGCAGGCCCCAACAAAAGAAGCGATGCTTCACGAAGACGTCAAGACAAACCCGTATTCGTGTCCATAGTAAAGTGTGTAAATTGCGTGACTCAACACAATGAATCAACAGTGATCTGAACGTACTCCGATGCATGGTGTACGCACTGCGATCTGGTCGGGGATGAAACTCGCAGAAACGTGATGTACAATAAAATAAAACATCGAACCCCATTCATTAGTATCGTTCGTTTTTCACCAATACTGAGGTATGTTGTGATCACGCGGTCGGATAGCTAAATTCCCCCTGTTCGAAACAAATTGTAGAAAAAATAAAGAGTACTCGAATGAGAATGATGTACCGTTACCGGATTCATTGAGCCAGGTGGACGACGCAACCTTGATATCCGGGTCCACTGTACCACCGAGTGCAGACAAGCACAGTCGCGGACGGCCAACAGGTACCGGGGAGGTAGTGAAAGTCTGTGCATTGTGTAACTCTGGAACCGGATTGAGCGAACTGTGGCAAGCAATGGAAGGCTGACCAGTCCCGGATGACTGCGACAGACTCTCGTGGGGTTCAAGTCCGTTGATCTGCGATTGCAAATCCCGGATACAAGTTTCCAGCTGCTCGCAACGGATCCGCCATTCTTCATTCTGTCGCCAAAGGTTGAGATTTTCGCGCTTCAGCTGTTCGTGTCGTATTTCCAAGCGCTCCACGTACTAGGTACAAAAAAAACACGTCGGAAAAATACTGAACGGCATATAGGTAATGTGGCGAACGATGAAAGGTCCAAGATTACGATGAGAAACACATGGTGTGCAATTGAAGGTGAACGGCAGAAAATGGTCAACCGGCTGAGCGGATTAGCAAGCATATGCCACTTTGTGTGCTTAGAGCCGAAAATGCCGGTCAGCGACTAGCAGTTAACTCCAAAAAGAATATTAGTGGTCCACGAACCTTGGATCATGCGGAATTGAAAAGGATTATCATACCACGGTATAAATAGATAGATAAATAATGATAGAAATCAAAGCTGTCCGATGCCGTATTGATACAATCCGATAGGAGTCAAAGGCGCCGAAGAGTGGGAGGTCCAAATGTTTGTACAGACTACTACAGATGGCGAGATCAATCATTCGAGTGGAAACGAACTTGGGAATAATGGTAATAATAAATTTTCCAAAAGATTAGTAGTTAGCATGCGTTTTACCAGACGGGTAAGCGTGATGTCACTTTGTAGTAGCTGTCTCACATGCCAATATGCCGAATGGTACTTGTTTTGTATTCGCGCTGCTAATCGTGCCAGAAAATTTGACTGTCTGAATTCGAGAAAACTTAAGAGTTGAAAACTGGAATCACTGTAGATACCTAGCGTTGCAATCGGCACTACCACTAGAGTCCGTTAGCTGAGAAGTTCGCAGTCAGGATAACAGGGAACTCTATCATTAATAAAAGTTCGCCGCATAGACTAAAATGATGTCATTACAGTATAAGATGCAGTAAAAAATGAAGGTAACAGTACCTTTATTTAAGCGCTTTATGATTTTCAGCAACTAATTTTATATTGCTTTTATATACCATAAAAACTTTATGAGAAAACACTGAAAGTTGCACGAACAATGTGATTCCAAAGTCTACTTGAATTGCATGTAAAAATAATCAATTGACTCATTTAGAAATTTCCTGTAGTACGGACATAGCGGACCATTGCCTAGCCAGGGTCGCAATATTCAGTTGAGACCAACTTGGTAACTAAAGTACGATGTGCAGCGAAAACAGTGACAATGTTGATAGAGTGCTCGGTAACGCGATGCAAGCTCCACTATCCGCATTTAAGTGGGACTGACAGAAATAAGACGTTTACGCACGATTAGCATCGGAAAACAAAAGGTTGGCATTCGGCTGTCGAATTTTTTCAGTGCCAAGAAGACGCACTAAAGTGCATTAAAAGAACTCCATCGTTAACAAAGTAAAAAACAAATAAGAGTTGATTAGCCCGACAGAGTAAAATGAGTACGCGGAAGCAATCAGGCAATAAGACTCTGCAGACTTCATTATGACTAGGTTCTGGTGTGAACATATATTTGGAGCTAAAGAACCATTCGCTAAATCTTCAATACGGCAAGATTGATAGATGCAAGCATCATCATCATCATCATGAACAGCGGTACATCAGGCATTTGAGCTAATACTTCGCTACCACACAACCACGATGACCTACGGAACGAAGAGTAAAACCGTTGCCCTAAACAAACATTCAGTCAAGGAGCCTATACCTTGTGTCAACAACATGCCTTCGCAAACAGTGGCTCTTGTGCAAAGATAGGGCGGCTTTGGCGAGACAGCTTTTTTGAGGATTTCACTGCACCACGTCATAATTAGTCATTACCCCGTAGCTAACTCAGCACCAAACACACTTTAAACAGGTAGTCAGACAAGGAGACAACCGTCAGACACTATCGCTAACCGCGTTTGTCATCGCCTATAAGGCAATACACGAGATATAGAATTTTCGCGTGATTTCCAAAATTGAATTGCCTCTGCAATATCCTTTGGTGCTTTGTGAACGGCACAGATTCTCTTCCAAATGGTATGCGAGTATTCGTTAGTTGGCATGCAAAGGCGCTGCATCGAGATGCTACAGTTTCGAACGAGGAGTAATCTATGCTTGGCAGCAACAACCGCTAGCGCACAGTGATACGTGTTCCCAGTGCAGATCTCGTAACCTGCTTGCCCCCACCTTCGGATTCGGACTACTGCTGTGTATTAAAGGCCGTGTGTATTGCTATCAACTTGAAAGATTTTCGGGATCTGTGGCGCCTAACAATGGCCAGCCAAATATTACATCTTACGCACGACACAGTGATGACCTGCTCTCATCGGCTCCGCTTTGAACACCGGACAGTTGGCACATTAAAGTGCGTTTTGGAAGGGAAACCAACTGAAGCACTGTATCTTGACCTCAAGTTAACGTGGTTATTTTATCTACTCGTTGAAGCCAACCTAATAGCTCCACCTTACAAGTCAAGACTAGAAAGAAACGTAAACCGTATGCACCCTACCTCTCACTAACTGCAACATATTGGACATTCTGCCCGGTCATATTAACCTAACAATTCCCACCTTCAAGTGTATTTTGAAAGAGCCCAAACGAGACGCTTTATCCCGTTTCAACATCACCCTTTCCAAAGCACGGCCCCGCAGACCGTAAAGCCCCACCTGTAAGTGAAGGCTAAAAGGAAAGATAGAGAACCTGCGTAGTTTTACAGCCATTGCGTAACACACAACACATGTTGCTCGATCAGGACGATTCGACATCTATACTTGGGAACGTTTAAGCGCTTCACCTTGCCTCAACCACCCCCTTTGTGCATACTCCCTTACATTACTCGGCTAACTCAGCTGAAGCACTGGAGACTCAGATTGTGTTACATTGATGTAGTTCTTTTATCACCCGAGTACAACTCCAAGTATAGTTTTGTCACACAAAGAAATTGCCCGTATTATTTTGGTCTATTATGCTAGCATTCGCATACGATTGTATTGTTCGTCGGAGTTTAGTTGATGACCATAATTGTTCCCACCCCTTTCATGAACTCACCGTCGTCATGCTCCCCCCGCTCGATCTGCACAGAAAGCCAGCAACTGTGAATGGCCGTGAACTGCTAAAAACCACAGTGAACCCCAAAGGAAGAAATTTACAAACACGTCCCCATTGCGTCCTTGCGCAAACCCTTACCATCGACAGCCATGAATGTAAGAACATGTAAATAAGATCTGTCCGTTTGTGGGCACCGTTACTCAGGATCACAATATATACATATACATATATATATATATATATATATATATATATATATATATATATATTACTCATTGTAATTCCAGTCACAATAGCTCGTAACAAACTGAAATGAAGAAATTTGAAACATGAAATTCCCTTAATAATTTTAAATAATAACAGAAGACGAATGTTGTGGGATGACACCGACATTTCGTGCACTCTCGTCGGCCCCGCATATGCAAATAACAAAGAAACCAAAATAAGATAGCATAAAATCGATTGTTGGTCAACTGCTTTACGACTGGTTCGTTACTCACTACCACGGAAGGCTTAGCGTCAGTCACTTGTGTTTGAACACAGAGCGGTGGGCATTGCTGAGCGATAACAATGGTAGTGTGGATCGACTCACTTGGTAACTGGGTCACCTCTAGTGGTCACATCACTGACGAAGTTACTTCGCGTATCAGCAAGACCCGTGTGGCTTTCCAGTGGCTCGACCATCTATTGAGACGGTGATACAGCAGTCTGTCAGTGAGTGTGTAATGCTGCAATAAGGCCGATCTTACTGTATGGATCAGAAACCTGACTAGTTCACAATGAGTATATAAAAAGCTTGGCTGTGTTTGGTTACCGATGCTTGCGGAGTATTGCACACGTCTGGTGGAAACACTAGGTGAGCAACGTTGAAGTTCGCCAGTTGGTTTTGGGCAAGAAGCCTTTTGGTACCTCACTCCAGTGTTTGGTGAATCGTAACCGCTTACGTTGGCTAGGCCATGTTCTCCGTATGTCCGTTGGCCATCTTATTGTGCACTATACGCCGTGGCTGTACCAAATTGTGCGAAAGCGCGAGGTGGCCAGTCCATGACGTGGTAAAGAAACATGAAGAAACTGACTGAAAGACTCGGTCAGATCGGTGTATGTTGTATTCGTGGATGGGGGGTCATGGGATGATCCACACCAACAGTTGGAGACTCTATCATACATGACGCTGTTGAGCAGTCAATGATGTTCCCGCATTCGGTTTCTGTATCTGGCAGTTGATTTTCATACCATCCTTACTGATTTAATGCGCCACTATCCTGATTCTATTTTCTTTACATTTAGTTTGTATCATACCTAATTTTCCTATCTTTGTTATTTATTGTTATGCTGGCGACGTAAGTCGTGATGGCTGGATCCACCGTACTTCGATGTCCGTATCATACTTGTTCAACTGAACCGAAATGGTCCTTAATTTTTGCCACAGTTTCTAGCATAATTGAGGAACGATACTAATCGCCATTATGGCTATCGCTGTCATCACTATCCATGACCGTTAACTATCTTCAGTCACGGTTGACTTCTCAAGCAAGATAATATGTAGAGGCATGAAAATAATGCGTAAAAATATACTATCAAAATGGTCGTTGTGATAAAGCTGCACCTATGAGTCACTATCAAGGTAATGCTGGAGTGGAGAAACGGCTTACATTAATAACCCATGTATACATTTTGTGCTTACTGGTCAAATAAATCATAGGAAGCGGATGACAGGATAAATAAATGTAAACTAGAAGATAAGACGGTGGCAATAATGAATGTGAAATGAAGAAACACTTAAGATATTCAGCCAACTGATAAAAAGAAAATGATTGAGTTGGAAAACCAGCAAGTATCTACATGGCGGACGCTTTGTCAATATTCCCATAGAACCAACGCGAGGACTAAAATACAGGAGACAAGATCCCCCACCAAAAATATGACAGAGAACACACCTCCTTTTTCCTTAAACGACTCATGCTCGCTGCATAACGATTTTTAATCATGCGTTCCTGTTTCTTGCGAATACGCTCAATATTGGCTCGAGTAAGGACCAGGTTGTTGGAAGATGAGTCTACGCCAGAAGCTACGTGAGGCGAATCACTGAGTTTCATTTGGGTACCAGGATGCCGAAAGGTTATCGCCTGGGAGGGGAAATAATGAAAAAAGAAAATCGTTCAAAGCAGAAGCACGGAGTTTAAACAAAACGTGAGTCAAGTACCACCCTCAGTCAGGCAGATTTAGTAAAAAACGAGCGAAGCCACCCAAGTAGCGAAACAACGACGGGAACTGCTGAGAACGTAAGCAGAACCGGCGCAGCGTTGGAAGTTACGTTGCATTCGATTTCCTAACCGTGTGCCTGTGTGCCTAATTTCTTCATTTCAGATAATCAATTTGTTATATTTGGTTAATACTGCTTTAGTATCTCATTTTAATGTCTACCTGAATAACCTTCTATCTACTTATACATGTAGATTGAACAAAAAATCACGTAGTGGGTTTAAGGTAACCAAAAAACAAAGCAGTCCCCGTCTACTCCAGTTCGCTGGTGCCTCGGCGATTCGACAGTTGAAACCACTTTTGTGCAAACAAACGGACTTCGTGACCAGCCTCGCCCTACCTTGGTGAGGCTAGTATCGTCTTTCTTCTGACCAGGCCACGAAAACTCACCGATTTTCGACCGCTTTAAATGTTCGCCGATAACATCGCAACTTGATCGCCCTTGCTATGTAGCCTATCCTTTCCACAAATTGTTTGTAGACAGCTGAGGAGAACACATGAAGTTACTGAATTCAGTATATCCTGTTAAAATGTGGTTTCTTCTTTCTCGGTTGAAATTCAAAAAGGGAAAGCTTAGTAAGAAATATTTTCATGTTCGACCCCCCATTTTTGCCAACTTGAATTTGTCGCGAACATTTTGATACCGAGTTTGTCTCATACACTCCTTTAGCGAAGAGTTATGTCGGCATATTCGTATGCCATATCCGAATTATTTTATTTTATATCGTCATTTCAAGTGAAGGTGTGGCTGCGCTTGATGTGCATGTTGACAAGGTCTATTACCCACTACCTCGTCCATACTGGCTCTAGGAGACAGTTGGTCGTTGCTGGAGGGGACGGGGTGCACGGTGCTTGTGGTCGTGCTAGGCTCGAAGAGTGGTTCCATGCACTCAGTGTGGAGCGGACTACGGTCCAGCCACCGCCTTGTGTGTGCTTGATTCCCCAAATACAGCGTGCTTGTGTATGCTTGTGAAGGAATGTGGGCCGGCTCCGTTGATGAAAGGTGGCACCGAATGCCTCTCGGTCTTATTCCTTTCGGAATCGGCTTCACTATCGAGCATTTTCTGTCGCTCGCAAATGCACCTTCGCACAGCGATCTGTTGAACAGATCAGTCGTGGAGGGCGACATGATAGCCAACAGTGAGGTGAGAACCAACGGATGGATCCCATCTGGACAGGCAGGCTTCGTGCTGTTGAGGATGATAAGTAGATTGCGGACATCTTCAACATTGTAATCCAGGCATTTAAGTTCCGTAGAGGTTTCATACGTCGAGCTTGGTATAAACACAAGCCGACTTGCAAATACAGAAGTGAAGTGGGTGACCAAAGCCGAGGCATGTTCAGCGCCGGAAGTTAGGAGGCTGTTCGTCAGAACCCTCTAATACTGCTACTACGTCCGCAGGTCTCAGACGCCGCATCATGTACGCGAAAATTTATCTAGGGGCCGTCTTTGCTGCGGTTGCAAGTTCCTCTTCAGACTGCGAGGCCTCAGTACTTTCGCGCCGTTGCATAGATTCCGTTGCCATTTGTACACCTGGTAATCGTCGGGGGAGGCAGACAAGAGGAATTTATTCCACAATACGCGTCGCCGTCAGTAGTGCTCTGTCCAGGAGAAAGTAAGAATTGCCTTGGAAATTCCCTATTTTAGCGATTAATCGATTATTAACGATTATCGCATCGATTTCGAACGTTCCTGAATGTTCTGCTACACGTGATCAAAATCCACCTGACCTCTCGGGAAAAGATATGGGGAACCACTAACCTTGGCAGCTGACCTTCCAATTCTAGAAGTCGAAGGTCAGCAGAGACCTATAAATACAGCCAGGGTCCTCAGTCGTTGTACAGTGTTCGTTGGCTGCGATTAATACGTTATTTGTCAGGGTCATTGGCGTTCTGCTTTTTTCCTTCGGTTGGGCTAGAAGTTTTGTGGAGCAGTGAATTGTTATTTTTGGAGTTGCATCTAGTGAGAAGATTATAACATGCTCACTCGCCGAATCCGGTCGGATTCGAACCCATAACTTTACTTTTACAAGCCAGCGACTTATGCGACTGAATAATATAATAAAATAATTCGCCAGCTGCATGCCGTAACGGCACTTCGCTGCAACGCGACCACCACCAGTCGCGCGTGGGCTAAGTATGCAGCGAAGACGCCCGCCCCTACGCGGATTCGAACCGGTGACCTTACGGTTGCAAACCAGACGCACATACCACTCGGCAACGGGCCGACTGAGCCACAGGTAATCCGTAGCGTTGATAGTAAGCATCAGTGATACAGCCGACTTGGTGAAACGGTGGACATTGAAAACGAAAACATCGGGGTCTATAGGTATCTGATCGCTAAAGCACTCATGCAACATGCAGCGCAAAAGCTACTTTCTGACTAGGACCCGTGCTTCGTAATCTGATCCCGCACGAATTTGAAGTAAATCGCATAGGACCTAAACGTTAAATTATCCAGAGCTTGGATCGATACATCCAACTTGACGTTTAAGTCGTAAGACATCGAACAGAGGCCTCGATGTGGGATAAAGTCAACCACTGCGAGCTGCGAAGGTTAACGGTTAAGATGCTCCTACCAAGAGACCTCATGAGTTGACGTGAATGGTAATCACCACAAATATCCGCAAGCAAAATACAGTAAAACCTCCGTAAATGGGCTACTCAAAAGACTGGACAAAAGTGGTCAACATGCAGAGGTCTAGGATCCATAGGACGTACATGGTAAACGTTCAAGTAATAACGGTCAAGTTAGTGGTCAGAATATTTAGGAAATGGAAAAATTGCAAATTATGCGGAGGAATGCATCAGTAGAAAGCTCACGTACGACTTTTCACCCACAAATTTAAAAATGGCAAAAAGTGCCATGTCTAACAGATTAATCTGAGTAAACTGGCCGGATAAAGCTGTGTGAGGACCGAAACGTAACCGCAATACAACCTCATAAAATCCTATTTATAGTCTAAAAATCGCTGAAATTATGAATTCCAAATCGGTTTCAGGTTTATGCCAAGATAATAAATTCGAATCCAGCTACTTTATGTAATATTTTCGATAGTATGACAAAAACTACGTCCCGTCTGTCTACTTAATGGTTAGCGGCCTTCTGAGGCCAGTAGCCTAGGTTTTGGTATTGAGTAGGCACCTTGTCAACGCACAAGCAAACATGATAACTCTATCTCAGGTAGACGTCTAGCACATGTCAGTCGTTTAATAATAGCTGAAACGGAGACAAGCCACAACACACAACTTTATCAGTCCCACCACCGACGCCAACAGAACGAAAGTGTGGCGGCGGCATTATCGGCCAATTCCTTGACTTGCATGAGTCTAATTGCGTAGATAATGGCACATCTGTGTGAGCTGTCAAAAACGCAAAGGAAATGATAAATCAGGTAGATGGATATGTTACTGGCGTGCGTAGCTCAAAATCGAAGACGGAACAGACAACCGAGAAAAAAACAAGAAGAAGATTGAGCATAATAAGTAGCAAGTACAAGTCGTCCTATTGTCTAAATGCGAACTCAGCTGATATACTGTTCTACGGCTAAATTCTCCTTTGTGTCCACACAGGATGTCGATTTGCTCAGACTGGATGTGGTACCAAGATACAAAGGAAAATCTACGGAGAGCAAAGGTCAGTCGACAAGAATGCAGTACAGCCTTAGTCTGATCGTATATTCACCTCCAACAGTATCAAAAATATCTGTTGGGGTAATATTGAATCATTTCTGGTGTGGGGCCTTGCTAGATTCGTTTACACATTCATCGGAATGCGTGACGAAGTGGCAGTTTCTATCCATGGTGGTGTGGATGAGAAAATCGATCAGGATGCAGATATTCGCACCCCTTCTGGACAGAGCAAAGCAATAACCTATACTGATGCACATGTTCTGACTGAACGCCCGGTGTAATCGCCGTCAATTCATGTGCATCGACGTCTGTCGAAAGACGGAGGGCTAATTCGAAATGAGCTCCACAATGAGGCCGAGATCTAACCAGTGATTTATTTGAATTTGGTGATAGTGGATATCAACATGTTGTCGGAATAGTTGGATTTGTAAACGAAACTATAGTACTGGAAAAGGGGACAAAGATAGGTGACGGAGAAAATCGTTAAATTACTAAACGCATATACAGCTTGTTGGGTCAATTTGACCCAATCGGAGTGAGCGAGCACGTGGCATGCAACATTGACTATAGAAAGACACCTGAAGAGTACCGACATAAGTACTACAACTTTATTATAAAGCACTGCATTCATTGGCTTACCAGATGCTTCCTCAAAGATTCATCCGGATGTTTGTGAGGATCATACGTATCCAGAAAAGGGCCAACTTCCAGCGTATTAATGCCGCAGCCTAGGAAAAGTAGTATATCCGACGCCATCAAAAAATATGAAGATTGGTGTTACGGTAAAGTTAAACACAGAGAAGTGACAGGAAACAAAAGAAAATAACTCAAATGCGGATAACGCTATAGCAGCCAGAGCAATCGGATTTCAGGAAATAAAGAGAAAGTATTCTTGTACTTGATGCATGGACATAACACTTGCATACTGCGTAAGCAGGAAAACCGAGTAATCTAAAGGGGTTACCGCCGAGTGTAGAATAAATATTCAAAAGTGATGAAGAGTAGGCGTTGCAAACGAAAGAATTGAGTGTCTGGCCCCTGCATTTCGCGCATGAGGACAGAGATGAAACCGGCCTGTTTGAATGGATCCAAGTCAACAGTCGGCTAAGTGCAGTCAGACTACAAGGTTCATGCAATGTAAGCGAGTGACGAGATGCAAAACGTGCTTTGTTAATCGCCTCCACCTACGTTCCTACAGACTGTAGACTGGTTGCAGTCAACGAGTGCATTTACAAACAGCTACAAGAACCGGGATCTTCCAAAATGACTGATATTGCTATTCTTGCCTATTTGAAAGCACAAGTTGGCCGCCTGCCTACAATCGAGCACCCACATCATTTTGGGGTAACTTAGGCCGCAGAAGCAGTCGATCAGGCAATGCAAACAGACTTCTGACATTTTGATTTATGCATCGCTTGTTTTCTTCAGGCACCAGCTTTCGGTACTCGAGGAGACAGACTGCTACCTGACGCCCGCCTTCTCAAAGGCAATTGGTCTCAGCCTGACCACAGAGCAACAAGTTATAGATGACGAGGAAGCGGAACAGAATCCCAATAGTACTGGTGAACTTGTATAGGCCTCGATCATGCACTGGTCTGAGCTAAGATTTGCATGCGTTCCTAATGATCGCCCTGCTAAACGAACATCGTAAATCTTAACCAAATATCAAGAATCATTGCCAACATTATTTGGCTCAGATTCTGACGGTGATTTATTGTTCACAATCTTTAGTGGTTGCAAGCATCACCATCATCATTAACCGCAGTACACAAGCGATTTGAACTGATGCATCCCTGCCATACAACCATGATGACCTATGGAATAAAAAATAATAAGAGAAGAGAAGGGGGACTTACCTGAAAACCTTAGTGCCCATAGCAAACATTCAGCGTCAAGGCGCCTACACCTGCTGATAACAACATACGAGCACAAACAGTTGGCTAGCGTGCAAAGATAAGGCGACATCAGCGAGACAGTGAACTTGCGGCATTGACTGCCCCGTATCATAATCAGTCACTACACCGCAGATAACTCAGCACCCAACATACTTTAAACAGGTAGTCCGATTAGGAGACGACCACAGACGCGCCACTGGTACCGACTGAGATCCACATCCTGTTAAGACTCGAGACAAGCACAAGGTGAGTCAAGTGGACTCAAGCCCGGAAGGCAAGATGACCAACGGCACCAGTTTGGTCGTCAATGACTTCACTTCCCTCTGCCAAGTCAACTTTTGTCCACCTCGACCCTTGTGTCACCCAACATCTGGCAAGCAAAACTAGGTAAGCGGCGACCAGGTATATCTATTACGTGCCTAAACCAACGCAACTTATTCAGTGCTATCTGTTGTTCTAAGGAACTTGCATGATTACCACTGCTTAGTACTCTCCCACGCACATCATCGTTGCGGACACGTTGGCGCCACTTGACACTCGCAATGCTTCGCAGACAACGATGATCAAAGACTTGAAGGTGCCTCAGAGCCGTGGGTGGTGAAGCGCAAAACACTCATGGTCCCTCTGTACGCGCAGGCGTCCTGTGACTGGCCACTGTGTCTTGTACTGCACCACCCACAGCTCCATCCACACACCCCATATCTAGTGTAAAATAGAAGGAATAAGAACGGAAGGCATGTGGACGGGAGCAAAGATTCATCAATGGAACCTGCCCACACTCCTTCACAAACAAACACCATCAAGCTGTTTTTGGGAAACAATCCCACACTAGGCAGTGGCTGCACCGTAATACGCTCCACCCTGAGTGCATGGAACCACACTTCGAGCATAACCTGGCCACAAAGACCGTGCACCCCGCCCCATCCAGCAACCAACAACTGTCTCCTAGAGCCAGTATGGACGACGTGGTGGGTAACAGACAGATAGGCACCTTGTCAAAGATTCACATGAAGTGCAGCCACTCCGGCGATATCAAGCAACAGCCAATCACTTGTGTGAAAGGTAACGAATAAAATAAGTCGAGTAATGCATAAGGAAACGGTGAAATAAATCATAAATTAACGAACATAGGAAAAAAGTTGTCTACAAACGAATCCGAGATAAGCTCACGAGGTCATCATCATCATCATTATACACGTCAGCTAGAGGTGGGAAACACCTCAGCTACCGTGCCGCAATACATAAATGAAAAAGGAAAATAAATACAAGTTGCATGCCAGCTGAGCTACCAGCAACGGATAGGCATCGTTCCGGTAAGCTACCAGCCTGCTACTAGGCAAAAAGAAAAAAAACTTTGTGTTTTACTCTACGAAATGACATCTTAGGTGGAGGGGGAAGCTAAAAGGGATGGGGAAGGACAAAGAAACTCACAGCACGAACGCCACTGAGGTCGGCTCCCTGTCAGTTAAGCAAGTGTATCCAGCCAAACGTGTTCACCTTCTTTTGCACCTCAACCAGGGAGCCGTGACGCTTCAACCGAGGACAACACAGAAATGAGGACCTTCATTCCTCACAACTAAGTCATCGCATGGACACCACTCCTCTTCTTCCATCCACATCCCGGGTGAGCAAACAGCGCACGTCGTGGAAACCGGTGGGCTGGCATGCGCAACACGTCGCCCAGCCATCGGAGCCTGGTGCGTGAAATATCGGTGCTGAGCGGTTCAGTTCCTTTTCCTGTGCCTTAAACAAGGCGTTGAACACGCTCGTTGCTCACACGGTGTTCCCACCAGATGTGAGCCAAACTGCGAAGGCACCGATGGTCAAACGTAACCAGCACCTTCATGTCCGCCGACCTTAGGGGTCAGGTTTTGCAACCGTACAGTAAGGTCGAGCGTAGCGCTGCCTCTACCCTTCAGGGCGAGAGTAATGTCGCGCCGCCGCCATAGGTGGCGAAGGTTAGCAAAAGCACTTCGAGCTTTTGATATCCGGTTCGTGATCTCATCTTCAATCCCACGGGCACTAATACCTCTTCCCAGGTAGTTGAATTTCTGAACGACTTCTAGCTGATCCCCACCAAGGTTCAGCGAAGGAGGCGATCCCTGCGAATCTTGGAGGAACGCTTTGCATTTCGATGGTGAAAAGCAAAGCCCGAAGTGACTTACAGCCAGTGCTAATCTGTCCAGCGCGGCTTGGAACGTTTGGGAGCTGTCACAGATGAGGGTAATGTCGTCTGCATACTCCAAGTCAAGAAGTCGTTCTCCTGGGAGTAGTTCCACACCTTCCTGTAAATACAATCTCCATGACTTCGTCAATAGCGAAGTCGAAGAGGAAAGTAGGTATCCTTGTCTCACACCGCTGGAGATATTGAAGGGTGGCGACCGCTTGCCGTAAGCCCTCACTCTGCCCGTGCTACGCGCACATAATGCTTGGATAATATTTAGATATTTCTCGGGCACACCTTTCCAGAGTAGACAATTCCAAAGGGCACATCGATCAACCGAATCGAAAGCACCTTTGATGTTGAGGCACACGACTACGGTGGGCCGCCAATATGTGTGACGGCGCTGCAACAACTGACGCAAGGTGAAGATATGATCGATGCAGGCACGACCCCGACGACACCCAGCTTGCTCCTCACGAATCTGGTTTCACGAGAGCCAGTCAGTCTGTGCAGAATTATGGAGGCGAGTAATTTGGAGTCGATGGAGATCAGACTGATTCCTCTATTGCTGCCGCATTCCGAACGCGAGTCTCCTTTGAAGATTGGAACAATAACGGAGCGGCTCCAGTCGGTTGGGACAGTCTAATATTCCCACAGTTTCACTAGTAATTCATGTAAAGCATCAACCAGAGTAGAGCCCCCGAATTTGAAGAGGGCTGGAGGAAGTATATTTTATGGAAATGTCACAAGCACGAAAATGTTATGGAACTTTACTACAATTGGCTTAATCGACGTGTGCAAGTTGGTAGAAGGGAGTACTGGTAAACATTCATCTGAGAAAGATAAGCATTAGGACAAAATTGAAAACCAACCACCTGAAATAAAGAGACTTAGCATGAAAGCACACCGTTACTAGATCGGATGCAGACTACTGACCAACGCTGCGTCGGTTCTGCCTACGTTCTCTGCAGGACTCGTCTTCGCTTCGGTAGTGGTCCCGAGTGGCCTCGCTCATGGCTCACTAAGTCTGCCTGACTCAGGCACTCACGCCCACATGTGCTACAGCACCATGCACTCGATGTCGATGGAGTACAACCCATCCGTGCTTGCCGCTTCCGCATTTGACGCTTCTTCTCCGCATACATGAGACATTTCTCTCGCACTTCAAAAACCGCCTTCGTGATCAGATCGCGCTATGCACCCCGATCAACCGGCTTCGATTCCCATGATCTGTAATCAAGATTAGAACGTGAGAGGCTCACTTTGACCATGTCTTGGTAACGTAAGTTTCGATTCCCAACATGAAGCTGCCCAATACTCAGCTGACCGTACACGGGTTGTTTCGGTATCCGCGTCGAATCCACAAGGCTCACATTACCCAGCCATTTCAAGTGTCTCAGCAAAAGTATGCAGTCCTCTGTAGACATCCTACTTTGTCGCAACACCTCCGTGCCCGCAACTCCCTCGCCCCAACCGACGCGCGAAACCCGTCGCAAACACTGATGATGGAACCGCTCGAGATATCGCACATCCTGCCGGTACATCGTACACGTTTCACTGTCATATAGAAGAACGGACAGTACCATGGATTTGTACACCATCAGCCTCGTGCCAATGGTAAGCTGATGGTTGTTCCACACTCGGTACTCTAGCTTCCCGCATGCCGTGGCTGCCTTCGACACGCGGATAAGAAGCTC